CACCTCCATCTTCAGAGAATGTTTTTTAATCCACACTCTAGTTTGCTTTTTGTTGCTGTGATAAACACTTTGATCAAGTAAAACTTGGGGAGGAAAGGGTTCATTTGGCTCATAGGTTACAGTGCATCATGAAGGGAGGGAGGGAACAGGAACTTGATGTAGAAAATGAGGAATGATGCTTACAGGCTCACTCCACCTGGTTGGCTCAACACCTTTCTCATACACAAGGCCCGCCTGCTTAGGGATGGTGCTGTCCACAGTGCACTGGGCCCTTCTGCATGAATTAGCTATCAGGAAAATGCCCCCACAGACATGGCCACAGGCGAGTCTGAAGAAAGAAATTCTTCAGTTCAGGTTCCCTCTTCCCAGGTGACCCTAGGTTTGTGCCAAGTTGACAGCTGAAGCTAACGATGACAAAACACAATTATACTCAGTTTGGCTATTTATTTATAAGGATAGTAAGAGTTACTATTTTCCAGATCACCTCCAGATTGCCTCATTGAATCCTCATGACAACCTTTGAGATAGGTACCATTTTACTCCCATTTTACAGATAGGAAGATTGAGGTACAGATATATGAAGCAACTAGACTAAGATCATGCAGTAGAGCTGGGGTTCAGACTCAGTTTATTTGTCTGAATAATACCACCTGGCATTTTCTCAAGTATTTCTGTCACATGATCTTGTGAGGGGGGAAAGAAAAACCTACAAATATGCTTTTCAACATGCAGAAATTAAGTCAACTAAAAACATAAATGAAGACCATAAAATCAAAATTAAGAAAAAAAAGTAAACGGCAGAAGCTGAAATGATGGAGAACAACAGAGACTGACGGGGTGTATAATTTGAGTATGAGTCTCCTGAGAAAAATAGAGCCCCTTAAGTGCTCTTATTATCATAATTCTTGGTTAGAAAGCTTACTTTTGGGAAGTTCAAAGTTTATTGATGTTTTTCTTTTAAAGAGAGAATATTCAGCCAAGTGTGGTGGTCCATTCTTGTAATTCCAGAACTCTGGAGGAAGACAGAGGCAGGAGAATCATGAGTTCAAAGCCAGATGGGGCTAAATAATAAGTCTGGGCTAGCCTGGACTACACGAAATCCTATCTTAAAAAAATAAAACGTAAAACTCAGTGTACCCTGATGTGTTATAAGTCAAGGCCACGTCTTACTCATTTTTAGGGCACAAGCTCTGACATGCAGGAATGAAAAGGTGGTCAATACATTGAGGCAGGGCAGGAGGGAGGTAGACTCCATTTCCTTCTGATGCCCTAACATCTCCACAGGCTAGGTGTCCTGACATGACAGATATTTATTTCCTCACAGTTCTGGAGACCAGAGGTCTAAAATCAAGGTGTTGGCAATAGACAGAGCCTTATAATGGCAGCTTACCTCTTCCTAAACCACCTTTTCAAGCTTGACACAGGCGCAGAGCCTAGGACCTATAACTCGTCCTCAGGACTGTTGGTGTTCCTGGGAGATAGACCAGAGTGCTTTCTGTCTCCTTGCTGGTTCACCTACAACCAGCTTTTTCATTTGCAAAATCTGGTGCTCTGTTGGCTTCTATACAAGTCCCCCAGTGAGCCCTTGCTTACCTCTAGGGGAGGCTCCTTCTCTGCCTCTCCCAGCTTCTAGTGGGTCTGGCACTCCTTGGCTTATGGAGGCCACCTTCTACCTCTGCCCCATCTTCCTAGGGCAGGCTTCCTTCTGTGTCCCTGTCTCTGCTCTTCTCATAAGAATATCAGACATGCTAGGCTCTAGCTTCATCTCTTCCAGAATGACCTCATTAGAGCTTAAATCATACCTGCAGCCGCTCCACTGCCAAATAACATCCCATTCACAGGCTCTGGATGGAGGCGAATTAGGCAGAGGGATACTATTTAATCCACAAAGGTGGTCAGAGAGGGCCTCCCTGAGGAGGTGACATTTGTCTTGGCCTGAAAATTATGTGTGACCCAACCATTTACAAATGCGGAGGAGGGACAGCCTTGTGCCGGTGAAGATGCTAAGTCTGGAATAAGGATGGCATGTAACAAGTGGACTCTTGGGGAAGGACTAAGGGACTGAGGGAAGTGAGCAGAGGGACTAAGTGGGGAAGAAGCGAGTAGTGGTGGAATGAGGTTGAGGCAATGCTGGGAGCTTGGGGTTTTATTCAGGGTCCGGCTGCCCAGGTTCAGAGCAGAGGAATAGCATGAAATGCTTTGTAACTGATGACTCTGACCACCACATGCAGCACACCTTGAAGGAAAGAAAGCGCTGTAAGTAACAGTGGGGTCTGTGGGGATGTCCCTGTAACTGGCCATGGTGGAAGTTCTGATCAGTTTCAGAGCAGTGGAGGTGATGGGATACAGGCTATATTTGTCACGGGTAGACTTATAGATGGTTTAATTCTATACTAGGGAAATTAAAAAGGTGATCTAAGGGTCCTATGCATTATACCGAACCCGTAGCTGCTACTTTTCATTCAAAAGATGCCTAGTTCTCTTGTCTACGTCCGTACTTACAATTTAGACTCATTCATGTCACTCTATTGCATTCTATATTTCAGGATAATGACCATGTACTGCTTATAAATTCCCCTATTTATTGCCAAACACTTAGGTTGTTTTTAATTTCTCAAAGTTGCACTATACTGCAATAAAGACCAGCCCAAGCATTAATCTAATTGTCTATTCCTTTAAAGAATTTCTTGAACAGAATTTAGGTGCATGTCTGAGGGTTCCTCCGGGCTGGGAGAGTAACTGGGTTGTAGAGTATTTTCACTCTCAAGGGACTGTATTTATCTCCATGACAGTCCCATAGTTTCCCTGGTCATGGGACTAAGTCTCTTGTTTCTTGCTAAGCAGAAAAGGCCCATCCTTTCTTTCTTAACTGGACAGTCCCAAGGAGCACCCCTCTTTCCTCCTTTTTTCTGCCCTCATAAATTTAAAATTTTTGAGGATGCTGAAAGCCATATGCTACCTTGTGTCTGGTCTCTTAAAAACATAGAGTGACATTTTGGGAAGGAGACCAGGCTTCCAAATGTAGCTTGGATCTGGAAATAGCCCAGTCCTCCTTGTAGACATTTTTCTCTCCTGTAATACCTGTCCTCCTTTGATCCTGGGTCCAGAAGAAGAGGAGATTGGAGCCTCATACCTGTTCTGACTCACAGCTCTCCATCTGTTACAAGTCATTCTTGGTGCAAAGAAAGAAAGGGAGAGAAGACTGGGGAGGGAGACAGACTCTGGTCCCACTTCCTGTCTCTTTTCCAAAGGCTACCTACAAAGGGTATTTCATCTGCTCTGTATCTCTAGCTGTGTTAGAAGCAACTTTGGGAAAATTTGAAGTGATACACATTTTTTTAAAAAAAAAAAAAAAGAATAATTACCTTAATATGGAAAGAATCTGAAACTGGAAAGATGGCTCAGTTGTTAGGAACACTTGCTGTTCTTCCAGAGGACCTGGGTTTGATTCCCAGTACCCACATGGTAGCTAACAAGCACCTGTAACTCCAGTTCCAGGGGATCTGACACCCTCTTCTGGCCTCTGAGGCTTTGCATGATATGGGCTTACTTACATGCAGGCAAAAACACTCATACACATAAAAAATAAAAATAATAAATAAAATATTTTTTTAAAAAAGAAAGAACTCGCTGGGCATGGTGGCACATGGCTTTAATCCAGCACTCGGGAGGCAGAGGGAGGCAGATCTCTGTGAATTCAAGGCCAGCCTGGTCTACATAGAGAGTTCCAGGACAGCTGGGGCTGCAGGGAGACCCTGTCTCAAAAGAAAACAAACAAACAAACAAAAAAAGAACTCTTACAAATTAAAAGATTGACACAATTATGTTAAATTAATAGACAAGGAAAAATAACCACAGAAAATGCAGAATGGCCAAAATAAACATGCAAAGATGTGTGTCTTCAGTATTATTAAAGAAAAAAATTAGAGGGCTGGAAAGATGGTTATAAGTGCATTATTCCTCTTGCAGAGGACCCAGATATGGTTCCTAGCACCCATATTGGATAGCTCATAGCAGCCTGTAACTCCAGCTATGTGGTATCTGGTACCTCATGGCCTTCGTGGGCACCTGAACACATGTGACATACACATGCATTCACATATGCACACACATAAAAATAATAAAAATAATTTATTAAAAGAAAAAAATTTAAAGGCAAATTAAAACAAATACAGAGTCTGCCACCTTCTAAATCTCGGAATGAGGTAGAAGAAAGAGACTGAAAATCTCCTATCTTATAATGGTCAGGGGGAAATGCTTCTTATCGCCTGGGGGAGGGGTGGTGACCTGAAAACTTTGGGGAAGGTGATTGGAAACTATCTCCCAGGAATCTCCAACAACTTCCGTTTTTGAGCAATTTATAATGTAGATATACTCAAAGTTGTCATCAATAAAAATTTCAAGATTGCTTATTGTCATATTGTTAGTTATAGCAAAAATCTTCAATTGTGAGTCAACAGGCTATAAATTAAATAAATTACAGTACATCTATAGAAGAGAGGAAGGCGGCACTGTAGAAGAAAAGGAGGGTTCTAAATACCATGACAGATACTTTAAAATTAAAAATATAAAGTTAAGAGGCAAAGACCAGTTTCCAAGCACCATGTGTTATGTTTTCACACGAAATATTTCTACTGGGGTGATTAAAAAAGCACAAAAGATAGGACTCAAAATATAATGTGAGGGGGATTTTAATGTTTTATACATCTGCAGTGATTCTTACATATTGCTATGTACATGATTAACTTATTTACCCAATATTTAGTAGAGAGCAGATCATTTAGTACTTAGACTAAAGTCCAGAGACTGGAGTAGGTTTTAATGTGACTCATGTTCTATTTATGACAGCATTACTGGGCTTCTTGTCAACCTCTCTGAACCTAATTCTCTCATTACTGAAGTGGAGATACTTCAGGTTCACTGGTGCCCTTACTGTTGTCAGAGGGAAAACAACAGAGGAGTAAGCAACTAAGTGGCTCTAACTTGTAACTTCTTCCTCACTGTGTGCAGAAGCGTCACTGGCATAAGCCTACAAAGGCCGTGCTCAACTTTGGCTGGGCTTCTACAGCGCTGTGGTCCACAAGTGAACCCTGGCAGATCACTGACTGGCCAGCAGGGATTAGGATGGATATCTAACATGTAACTTGAACTGAGAAATCATGCCCGTACTTAAAGGCGGTAACATGGCATTCCCCCACTGGCAAAGTATTTCTGGAGATACTGGTTCCATTTTCAGGGTTCCTTCTGTTAATGTCACCTGTGACCTGGTGTACACTGGGAACAAACAACATGACCTCCCAGGTTGCTGTAAAACACCTTGTGACCTTTTTCTCTGGAGACTTCCCTAAAGTTTAAAGGCAACTAGATCATTCTATGCCTCCAGTAGGAGTCAGACTTAGCAAATATTTACCTTTTTGTCTTTAATTCAGCTCCTTTGTTTTTGTTTGTTTTTGTCTTTTTGAGGCAGGGTCTCCCTGTAGACCTGGCTGGCCTCAGTCTTACAGAGATACACCTCCCTCTGCCTCTGCTGGGATTAAAGGTGTGTGCCACCATGCCCAGCTCAGCTCCTCCTTGTATTCCACGAATCCCTAGGTTTGGTCTCTTGAACATATTCCGGACATCTTGAGACTTTGGGTCATGGTCGTTGCATTTTTTTCTTTATGTGTATTGTGTATGTTATTGTCTCAACCTTGACCTCCCTCCCTGAGGCTCTTTCTTCCGCTTAATTTTGTCTGTTGATGACGCTTTCTGCTGTGCTATTCATTGGGTTGGTTGATTCTTTCATTTCTAGAATATCTCATGGAAATAGGAAATCCCTAAGCAGGAGGAGCACTGTCAATAGGGGAGAAAAAGAAACACACCCCAACACATAGAAATGCTTAGGTGAGAGGCAAAGAATAGAAAGTGGAGGCTAGTGAGATGGCTTAGTGAGTGGGTGACAGTGCTCACTGCAGAAGCATGAAGACCTGACTTTGAGTCCCCAGCATGCAAATAAAAAGGTGGGTGTGGCTAGTGCTGTGGGAGGAGACAGGAGGATGACTGGTACTTGCTGGCTACCAGCCTAGCTCCAGGTTCAGTGAGAGACCCTGTCTCATGGGAATAAGGTGGAGAGAAACAGAGCAGGACACCCAGTGACTTCCTCTGGCCTCTGCACATGTGTGCACGTATGCTTATATGCTGAACACATACGGTCACACACATATATGCACAAAAAAGTGATAGAGACTTTGCAGATAAATATCAAAAAATCGTGGGTTAAAAAACAAAGGCAGGAATCACAGTGGGGCTAAAGGAAGTCAGCCCACTGTAAATAGGAGAGCTACATGATCTTGAAATTTGAGACAGACAACTCAAAGAATAATAAAAAAAAAAGAAATTGTGATTGATTTATCATACAAATAATTGCAAAGTGGGAAAAGATTGAGTGTGGAGACAGGGTATGTGGCGGGAGAGAAGCATTTGAAAAAAGCTCTATCTCCAAGGGAGGTTGCTACCATGGAGGGCATCCCCCTGGGAGTTACCTCATGGGAACCATGATGAGAAAGACCCATGGGCAAATGCCAGCTCAGAGGCCAGGTTAGGAAGGAGCATTAGGAGCTCCTGTGGGCAGAGTTCTGACTCATCTCTCTGGTAAGGAAGTGACCCATGGCGAGCAAATGGAAAAATACTTGCTGCACAGATGAATGGAAAGGCCCTATTCATTTAAAGGGCAGACAAATGACTTTCCCACCTGGAATCCCAAGGTCTTGAGAGAGAAACTCTCTGTTTTTCCTTGTATAAAATCTTATTGGCTAATCCCAGGACATTGGCTAATGTCTATCTTAAAAACACTGCCTCTTAACTAGCGATCAGAGCAGTGCTGCCTGCTTGAAGGCTTATCTCATTTAACCATCAAAGCCAATCCATATCGTGGGAACTGTAGCATCCCCATTTTACAAATGAACTGAGAACTTAGACAGGTGAAATGGCTTGCCCACGGCTGCCCAGCTGGGACTGGAAACTACGTGTGCTCCTTGGAATGCCCCAGTTACATACACTAAGACACCATAGCTGACCATGCCCCCATGTGAGGGCTTTGTCACATTTTATGGATAAGAAACTGGGACCAGAGGACCCAAGCTCAAACTGAGCACTGTCTGACTCCAACCCTGGGCTCCCTCTGCTGTGCTGGTCTACATCTCTCCAACCTCAGGGCAGGGGGCAGGAGTCTGTGGCTCAGACATTTTTCAGTTTGCACAAGTTGTCTCAAAGGTCCTAAAATACTAACATTTCAAATTTTTCTGAATAGATTATGTAGCACAAGTGAGAAAGTATCCCTAAATCAGTGGTTCACTCACAGTGGTGATTTTGATCCTTGGGGGACATTTGGCAAGATCTGGAGACATTGTTGATGGACAAAACTCAGTGGGAGGGTGGTGCTAATAACAGCTTCTGAGCAGAGGCCGAAAATGTTGCTCAGCATCCTATAGGGTCCAGGAAACCCTCCACAGGGACAGGCACATGCTCCAAGTGCCAATGGTGCCAAGATGAAGGTTCGGGCTGTTCCAGAGGACTTTGATTTTGCCTAATTATTGTCCTTTGCCTACTCCTTTTCAAACTGGCATGCACTATCATATATAATATATACTCACATATATGTGAATCTCATTAATAGTGAAAGCATTATCTTTAATCATATAACTCACAGAGACAAGGGTAAAATGTACCTCCTCTCAGATGACAGTCATCAGCTTCTGTTTCACATCCTTTGGGATGAATTTTTAACACTTATTTTTATTTATATGCATGTGTAATGTCTGTATGAGAGTATTCCATTTGCATGCAGGTGCCTGATGGTCAGAAACAGGTATCAAATTCCCTGGAGCTGGAGTTACGGGTGGTTGTGAACTGCTTGATGTGGTGCTGGGAACTGAACATGGGTCCTCTGCAACAGCTACAAGTGCTCTTAACCACTGAGCTACCTCTCCATCCTCCTTTAGGATGATTTCTCTACATGAATTTATGTGCAAATATGAAGCTTTTCTGTGTATCATATAACTAGATAGCCAGAATGGTTTGGTTATTCACATTTTAGGAAATGATAGTATAGTTTGTTCTCTCTCTCTCTCTCTCTCTCTCTCTCTCTCTCTCTCTCTCTCTCTATCTGTTACCCAGATTATCATATATTTCCATCTCTTCC